AGTCCAATATTTTTCCCTGGACTGTTTTTTCCCCCTCTCCCTTTCCTGGATACCATCTGAACCTGTTCCAGATGGGGACCTGGGCAACCCCAAGAAACACCGGGAGTCTGCATTCTGTCACCTGCAGCAGTCATCCCCAGCGCCAGAGACTGATAACTGAGCGACCACTCGCTGGAGAGACTTTCTGAGTTTGTCATCTCTTCAGGACGGTGAAAGAGTTTTTGTCATCTGGTGTTGTTTTTTTTTTTGTCCTAGGGAGTGTTTCGCTCGTTAAATAAACAGGTTTTTTTTTCCACTCCTCTCTCAGGAAACTCTTCCCTAACCCGGTGGTGGGGGGAGGAGTTGTGGGGGTTTGCTTTCTGGGGGCTCCTTCCAGAGGTTTTCCCCCAAATTTCCCCTAAACCAGGACAGAGTGCTTTCTCAGGTTCAGAGAAAAACCCCTGGCCTCGAGCCCATAAAAAGAGCCACTGGAATTCCACCAGGGAGATGGAAGCCCCATGCCTGTCCAGGAGGTCCCCCCAGAGGCCCAGAACCAACTTGTCCTCTGAAGAGACAAAAGGGGTCTCCATGGCCAAAGATCACCAAATCAGAGAAAAGGGAGAGAGAAAAGGATCTCACCTGTTGCCTCTGAGTTTTCACCTTCTGATGTTGAGACATTCATGTTACACTTTCTTACACTCTCTTTCTGATAAACAGTGGATTATTTGCATCCCTCTTTGGAGGAAGAGAAATTGACATTGTAACAAGCCAATTGGAGTCAGAGATTCTTTCAGTATTGTCCAATCCACGGTCATTGTTAGATGTCTTTAAATAGACATGTCATGTAAATAAAGCTCTCTTTGCCTTTTCACCCAACTTGGAGTCAGGTGCGTTATTGCTCTCTGTGTGTGTGTGTGTGCATCACAAGACCACACTCACCCACGCTCGTTCCTCAGTCGAGGGTCACCACCTGTCACTGTTACGACAGAGAGAGAGAGAGACTCACACCTGACTCCAAGGAAATCGAGCAGGAAAAAAGACCTCTTTATTTACATTACATGTCTATTTATAGAATTCCAACAATGAGCGTGGATTGAACAGTGATGATGAGACCTCTTGACTCCATTGGTTCATCACATGTCCCTCAATTCTCTCTTCCTCCAAGGAGGAATGCAAAACATCCACTGTTTACCAGAAAGAGTGTGAGAAAGTGTAAAAGAAATCTGTCAACATCAGAAGGCTGAAACACCAGGGCAACAGGGTAGGGGGAAAGTGTTTTTAGGATTTGTTTTACTTCTCATTAACTTACTTGGGTTTTGATTGGTAATAAATTCAACTAACTTCCCCATGTCAAGTCTATTTTGCCCATGACAGTAATTGGTGACTGATCTCCCTGTTCTTATCTCAACCCACGAGCCTTTTGTTATATTTTCTCTCGCCTGTCCAGTTGATGAGGGAAATGGTAGAGCAGCTTTGGTGGGTACTCGGTATCTAGCCTGGGTCAATCCATCACACCAACCTAACTTTCCTTAACATAATGCTAATAGTAGTCTGTGCATAGGAAAATATGCATGCTGAAATGCTGAAGGTAAGTTGTTTGGCAATCGACTCCCGGAAAATTGGGATTTATCAGCTACCATAGAGATCAGAAATGTACAGAGTGTATAAGACATGACCAGCAGCAGCAGGAACATAAGCCATCCATTTATTCATCAAGAACAACCCTGCAATCTTTAAAACATAGCTACAAACAGTTTCTCAACCCTAAGCTAGAGACCCAATTTTTAAGGATATACGTTTATTGCAGTTAATACTGTGAAAATTATGCAAACCTGAAAAGTCACTGTCCTGATTACAGAGAGGGGGGCAGAGTTAAGCGCTGTGTGGGTGTGATCAAGTTGTTATTCTGTACCACTCATATCATCGTTGGGGGCATGGTTTTGGAAGGAAAAGCTTGGGTGCCCTTACTGGAAGTCAGTAATTTTGCCTCACACTGAGAAGGTGTTGGCATCAACCCCTGCGAACTCAGTCCCTCTGCTGTCCTGACGGTCCCCCCTCCCATTTTCTCTGGAACATGACTACAGACCGTTGGTGCTGAAAAGGACAGTGGTGAAAATATGATTGACCGTAGTGTGGAAATGACAGCGCCAGTGGGGAAATTGCTGGCAGGGAACAGACCGGTGTGTGACAGGACCTTTCACCCCTGATATAGCAAAAGCTTATATTTTTCCCCCATGGCCCAGTAAGGCCAGAATAGCTTGCCTTGTGGTGAATTATCTAGGCTGAAAAACATCCTTAGCCAGCAATAAACATCCTGCCCTGAATGCATGGGAAAGGATAAGCAAAAATTCATGACTGACAGACACAGCACTTTTACAAACTATAAAATACCACTATAATTTTCATAAAATCAGAAATCTCTTACACACTCTCTGAGTGTGTGGGGAGTTCTCGAAGTTGAGATGACGGCATCGAGTTACTCTTCTAGAAGTTGAGGGAAAGGAGACTTCTATACACCACTATCATTCGTTGGTGACATTGGCTTCTAATCTAAACTATTTCTTTGCTAGCTGTAATATAGGTACCTTTACTATCGTGCACTCTCATGAACCTACTAGAAGTGTTTTCATTTATCCTGTATAGTGAAAAGTCTGTTAAAGTCCTTTGTCTGTTTTTCCTTGTGTCTATTCAATAAATAATTAATTTTGTAATAGACCTGTGAGAAATGACAGTCGCTTTTAAAATTTCAAAGGTTTATTAAACCTTAACAAAATACAACAAAAGGACTGAATAAGGAAAGAGATCACAGCGGCGGAAGCATATGACCCTCTGCCAGAGGCTCGTCTACAAAATGGCTGCTTCCTCTTTTATACCTCTGGGGTTGCGTCAGCCCACCCTGGTCCCTCCCAAAGTCTGTCCGTCAACTCTTCTTTGCTGTTCATTGGTGGGGACTACTTTCTTGCAACTTGATTGGATGTCAGGTATTGTCCTAGTAACAGGCCTTCCCTCCTCCTGGATGTCCTATGCAGGGGCACAGGTATACGCCCTCCCTTCCCTAACATGTCCTGACTACTAGGGCCGTGCAGTGGCAACCATATAAGGGGGAGGGGAAAGGGGACCATGGGGAGAACAGAGAACGTTTAAACAGTAAATCACAACAACGTCAATAAACTTCTCTTAACATATACATAATATTAATCCTTTAATTGCGAGAGCCAACCATCGTATTACCCATCTATAACAGACCTAAGCAGCCATTATTAAGAACTTGCGAACAAGTGGTCTTGGGGTGTTGGCCGCCTCAATAAAGCTGCTGTCTACTGCCAGAAACCTGGGCAAAGGCAGGAGTCATCTAAACTCTCCCCTCTCATTCATAA